ATATCAGATAACCCCGAGTGTAATGTGTGTGAGATTCCAGCCACATCCAGATCCCCTCCATCATGGAGGAGTTCATCATGTCTCTCTCTGTCCTCATCATCTCCCTCCTCAGTATCACACAAGTCCCCTGTGTCTGATTCCTGTAAGACAGTCAGTGGGTCAGTCATGTTACACATCTCCTCAATGTGATCCATCTTCCTGGACAGCTCGGCCTTCTTTATTTCCAGCTTCTGGATCAGGTCAGACAATGGATGTGAGAGCCGCTCTTCCTGCCTGGAGATCTCCCTCAGGACTCTCTTCTCCAGGTCTTCCGGATGTCTCCTGAGGTCTCTGAACAGGGCAGTGACTCTCTCTGTTACACCGGCTGATTTTTCTTGTACTTTTCTCCTGCGTTCCTGCAGACTCTGGACTCTTTTCTCAGTCTCCTCTCTCTCCGTGATCAGTTTCTGAAGATAATTTCTAAATTTCGGTTTCTTCTTCTCAGAGGCCTCATCCAGAGTCTCCACCTTGTGTCCCTGGTGTTCTCCAGCCAAACTGCAGGACACACAGATACAGGCAGCATCTGCAGTGCAGTAATATTTAAGTAGTTCTCTATGGACGGAGCATTTTCTCTTCTCCATGGAAGTGGTGGGTTCAGTTAAGACGTGTTCTGGTGCCTTGCTGTGGACTCTCAGGTGATCATCACACAGAGAAGCTTCACAATGCAGACAAGACTTAACAGCAGGTACAGGAGAGTGAATACAGTAAGTACAGAAGATCCCAGTTACCTTCCTCTCCTGATCTGGATGAGTAGATCGGAAAGTCTCCGCTATGTTACGCAGTGTTATGTTCCTGTGCAGTACAGGCCGATGCTGAAAAACTGCTCTGCGCTCCGGACAGGAATAACCTCCAGATCCGTCCTGTGTATCCAATGCACAAACAATACAGACCCGGCAGAAGTTGTGTCCACATCTCAGGTTTACAGGATCTGTATAAGTGCTCAGACAGATGGAACAGTCCAGCTCATCTCTCAGATCAGCAGAAGCCATCGCTGACAGCAGAAGAAATGAAAATCTCATGCACAGAGAATCCAAAGGTCAATTTATAGTCTTACATACAGGGTGTGGGCAGCGCTAGTGTCTCTGCCTTAAAAGGTCCATTTTGAAGTTGCCTGGACACACTGCTATAAATGTGAGTAGAGTAGAAAATACTGTGATAACATAACCTGTACACAGCAACCCCCCCCCCCCCCCGCCGTCTTTCCTATTTTCCTGTATGTTGGATCAACTTATACAACAGCTTTACTTTATTTCACCCAACCCTAGCAGCCTATACGTCTTCCTTTGTGACGGTGCTGATTGGTCCGGTGCTGCCACATATAGTCCTCACATACTAGCCCTCACTGGCCACTGTAGCTGAAGGCACTAAGAAGTAACGCATTCTAAATATACAGAAAACGATAATTTTGAGTTTCATTTCAGCAGCTCAGCTCCCCCTGCTTAAACCTCTCAGCATCCACTCAGAAGTTCAGCTCCCCAGCTTCAGAAGAGACTCCTCAGCTGAGCTCCCCCCTCCCTACAGTAACTCAGCAGCTCGGCTCTCCCTGCTTCCCCTTCCAACGGTGACTCTACAACTCAGCTCCGGCAGCTATAAAATCTATTAGACATGTGCATTTGGATTCGGGCAAACCTGCAAATCAATGAAGTTCAGTTGATTCGGTGGTTCGTCCGAATCCGAAATAGCGAATATACTATACGCCCGAATATACGAAAACTATATTGGAGCATGCATACATTTATTTTCCCCCATCTTGGAGGCAGAGCGCATGAAGTCACATGATGGCACGCGTGCGCAGCATTGGGTGACGTCATAGGCTGAATAAGCGGTGGCCATATCGTCCACCCGCGTTCTGTGCATGCCCGTCCCCATCTTGGAGGTGGAGCCCATGATGTCACATGACGCCGCGCGTGTGTGGCATTGGTTGATGTCATATGCTGAACGAGCGGTGGCCATACCGGCGCTTTCTGCGCATGCGTGCCGCCATCTTGGTGTATATCTTGGTATACCAAGATACACTCCAAGATGGCAGCACGCATACGCAGAACACGCCGGAGGCCGATATGGTCACCGCTGCAGTTTCTGGGGGAATCTGGAACAGCATAAACATTTATTCCCTTTGACAAAACGAATGAAAATGTTTTTCGTGGGGGCGTGGTCTGGCTGCGCGAGTATATGGCCGCTTGATCCGTGAGCAGCGTCGCCGGATCTGACGAAATTGCAACTAAATTCGTTAATAGGATCGATACACTTACCGAAATAGTCCCGATTGATACCGGAATACCTCCAGAGATGTCCGCAGTTAAAAATAAGTCCAACGGCCCTAAGAAGCTGACGGATTTCTATCCGAGGCCTGGACAGAAGAGCAGTCAAAATGGCGCCGGTGGGAAGTGCGTCACAGTGCCTCTTATCACTTCTATTACTCCTTCTCCCTACAGCACCGACTGTGACATGGAGGAGAACTGCAGTCATGAAAAAAATCGTATGCAGGATTTTTCCAAGAGACCTGCCAGCTCTCCATTAAGCTCTCCTCATACTAAAGCACCAATGAATAAAAAACAATCTACAGTTTCTGGTGCAGCCAGCCCAGCCATTACACCGTTACAGGATCTTCCTGCTACTATAGATCCCAGGGTGCTGACAACTCTGCAGCGGGTAGGGTAACGGGAGGACACAAACTAGCGTCCTCCCGTTACCCTAAGCTCAGTATATAGGGAGCTACAGCTCACGGTATACGGAGACGCCGGAGCGGATCCCGACCTGGACGTCGGGATCCGCCCAGCTGCGTGAGTGACAGCTGGCTCTGCCTATCTAGAGGCAGAGCCAGCTGTACCCGCCCCCCTCCCCCGTCCGTTCCGCCAGTCAGCACTGGCAGATCGGTGCGGGGAGAGGGGAATCCAGCCCTCCCCCTGCAGGATCGAGAGGTGAGCGAACCTGGTATGTGTTCGCATACCTCCCGATCTACTGAGCCGACCTGTGACAGTCTCATTGTCACAGGTCGGCTAGAACTATGAGGTGAGTGAAAAGCACTCGTCTCATGGTTCTCCTTTAATAAGAGAGTGTTCAGTATTTTTTGAAAGCCCCTCCCCCTAGGGCCTCGGCATATCCCTAGGTGGATTTCTTTATATTTCTTTATTTACTCCAATACCAAATATTTACTACTGGGTTGTGAAATCGCGCTCTCCTATACACACATAGCTTTAAGTACACGCCCACTAAAGTTGCTTCTGTTCAAAAATTCAGATTTTATCGTGTGTGCGAGAATGTAAGAAATTGCTCCGGGCAGCAAGCGGTTAAATACAGATGGTAAAACATCTCTTTCCCTCTTACAGTGCACTGCATAGCAAACTGTAAGGTCACCGTATGTACACTGTCAGCGCTGAGCATACTGTTGGCGCTACATAAATCCTGTATAATAATAATAATCCTGCCATGTGTCTGCACATATCGGAGGTGTATAGTAAAACCCCTGTTTGATTTTAACTGCTGCCCAGGCCTCACTTTTGGCATTTATTTCTTTTTATGGGCGCTAACCCAACTTACCACTGCCGGCGCCCTGTCTGATTGAGTCAGCATTGAGTTGAAGTAGATGTAAGTTCTAACTGGATGAGTAAGTTACAACGGTGGACCATGTCTGTGCAATGTGTTGTCACAGCCGCTTCTGGTCTCCACCAGGGTACACGTGGCAGGGTGACAACCCAGCAGTACAACTAGGAGACAGTTGTCACCCTGCAAAAGGAAGTGTCTGAACAACGACCCTCATGGCAGGATTGCCAGGTATTATTTTAATGAAAGCTGCAAATTTAATTCTTCCTTGACTCTTGGTGAACTTTGTGTATTTCTTCCAGATCTGTGCAGTAATCCAGTGAGAGACTTGTAGCTTCCTGGAATAAAGACCGGTCACTGCTGCTCTCTCTCCTTGTGCATGGTGACTGGTCTAGTCTCTGCCCCCCTCCGGTAATAAAGACCGCCCACAGCTGCTGATTTTCCTTGTGCAGGGTGACTGGTCTTGTCTCCGCCCCCCTTCTGTAATAAAGACTGCTCACTGCTGATCTCTCTTTGTGCAGGGTGACTGGTCTTGTCTCCACCCCCTCCTGTAATAAAGACTGCTCACTGCTGATCTCTCTTTGTGCAGGGTGACTGGTCTTGTCTTCGCCGCCTCCCGTAATAAAGACTAGTCACTGCTGCTATCTCACCTTGGGCAGGGTGACTGGTCTGGTCTCCGCCCCCCACCTGTAGTGTTCTGCAGGCAGGCTGTAGTGGGTGGGGCCTGATGGGTCCCTCCCGCAGCTCTGCACGGGTTAAGTACAGCCCATTCAATGCTACTTTTACAAGATAATAACTGGGTTTATAAAGACATTAAGTGGATTTATATCCTTTGTGGCTGACAAGGAATATTTTTTGTGTGGCTGGAGTTCAGCTTTAACATGGTAAAGCTTATATGAGATTTTATTGGTTTAGTTGAGGGTTCGGATCTACGAAATATCAACGACTAGGATCAGATCTACCTTAAGCTGGTGCTGCAATGCTTTCCAAGGCAACATAAGAGCTGAGCCAATCACAGCACATCATCCGGAGGCTTGGTCACACGGCTAAAAATACCCAGCAACTTTCATCTCCTGACCGAGTCTGCGGGGCCCCTCGAGACTCACACGCAACCCAGAGTACATATAGGATATCCTCATGACATGGGTAAGGTTTCCACACATGTCAAACTACTTAACATTCCGACCTCCCCTCCTCCTCCCCCGGGCTACGAGGCTCGAAGAGTAACTCCGGCTTTGTCCAGGAAAATATCATTCCCTCTAGGTCAGTGGTTCTCAACCTTTCTGGGGCCGGGACCCCTTGGTAACATTTGCCAAGTTGTGGTGACCCCCCCCAAAGGTAAAATTTAGGGATGACGCGGCTGCTGCAGCAACATCTGGAGGTGTGGCGGGAGAACTGACACTGCTGCGACACTGCTATAGGGAAAGACAGGACCGGGCTCTGCCGCTGGAACTAGAAGAATTGGATTTAAAGTATGAGGTACATACTCCGCAGTACTGTCACTGATAGGGATGGGCTCGGGCGTGTTCGCAGCTCCACGTGCCGAGCCCGCCAGGAAGCTGACAGTGCGCAGCGCCAATCACAGGTACTGAGACATTGCCCGATCTCTGCAGCTGCGGACCGGGATAATGGAATGCATAGCTAGAAGTGTGTTTTACATATTTTTTTG